TCTCTTCTCCTGGCTTTTAAGGCCAGCAGGAACGAGCTCCAGGTGTGCCACTCCTCGCGCACAGGTGTTGTGCGTCAGTGATCAGTGTGGCAGCAGCATTTCCAGGGCGACGCTAATCTGGACTCGGGATACTCGCCACACTATGTACTATAATTACACATTTTAATGTAAATATACTCAAAGATCTAAGACTTTTTCTATGTACACAAAAGGCCTATTTCTCTCAAATATTGTTCACAAATCGGTCTAAATCTGTGTTAGTGAGCACTTCTCCTTTGCCGAGATAATCCATCCACCTCACAGGTGTGGCACATCAAGATGCTGATTAGACAGCATGATTATTGCACAGGAGTGCCTTAGGCTGGACACAATAAAAGGCCACTCTAAAGTAAAGCAGAAGCTTTGAAGCAGAACGCAGGGCTGCGGTCTCCAGCTGTGTGAGATTCAAATGAAGACGCTGAGGTTTTTATTGAGCTTCATGTCAAGACAGAAGAAAAAAAAAATCTATAGTGCAAAAATTGAACCGCTTTTATATAAACTGAGTTTCTATACTTGCAAATGAGAATGTTTTACTTTCTTTGACAAATATAGAGCTTTTGGAAAACTGATGTTAAGGGGACTGGTCAATAATGTTCACATTATCATATGATAATATCATGAAGTAATAATCATTTAGATTACAATACAGATACATTCGCAACAATGGAGAACAACAACAAGTAACTTCTCAGGTAACCAGCTGTAAAGGTGAACCAAGTGTGCCGCACAAGTCTTGAAAAGTGAAGCCAACACAGTTTGATCGCCCCCAGGTGGCTGGCCCCAGTATAGGTCATAAACCTCTATTATAATGGGACCTCTAATATAATGGGACGTGAGACAAAGTAAATAATTACATTTGACTTAAAAAAAAAAAAATTTCTAAAGATGGTTTTTGTCATTTTATGTAGTTTTTATCATGCTGATGCAAGTTCAAGTGTTTTCTTTTTTTTTTAATAAGTCTGGGTTTGGTTAGTTCTGTGATGCTATGAAAACAGGGTGTGACGTAATGATTGACAGCTGAGATTGACAGCTTCTCTGAGTGAAACTGTGATTTTATTGGATTGTGTTTTACGAGGAAATACTACATTTTACTTTTTTTTCATACATTTCATGCATTTTTTTTTTTTTTAGTGTGCATGCAAAGTACACCTGTATAGTACAGAAATAGACCGTATAAATAATGTGAAGTATAGAACTTAAGGGAAAATAAAAGTGTTAACATGTCAAATACGAAAATATTTATATATATAAAAAAAATAAGATTAAAAATCGAGTAAATGGGAATTAATCTATTTTCATCACAAGGGATATTGTTTTGATGAATAGCTTGCATACTGTACAATATTAGCATACAGTGTCTCTGTAACATCTCAGACTGAACACATAAGGAGCTCATAAACACATTCACTAAAAACTAATTCTTGTTACATAATGTGGCATACATGAGTCAAAATGAACAACTGATCTGGGGAGTGTTTCCCAAAAGCATGGTTAGCTAACTTTGGTGGTAAGTACTATTGAACTTTATTGGTAACGACAGAACTTGTGACCATAGTTGCTTTTGGGAAAAGCACCCCTGATCTGGGAGCAGGCTAAATTAATGTAAATCAGGGGCTAAATGAATGTAAATCAGAGTCAATAATGAGCTCTGGGGGTGAACTGGAGGGACTGCAAATCTGAATGTGTTCCAGCTTATACTCCAAATCCAGCATAACAGTCAATCAGATATGCAGAGCGCTGTGTTCAGTGTTGCTAATAGAGCCATTTTGCTGCTAGATTTACCTGGAAACTCTTCACAAATGTTGCCAAATAATCAAGTCTGCTGAAACCTCTTCTTCATGAGCTGACGTGTCTGGTGTGTCAGAGCTCTTACTGTGAAACTCACCTGGAGCCTCATTTGAGAGTGGCAGGTTTGAAGAAACACAAACTGATGGATCCTGTGAGTAATCTGGAGGACTATATATGTCAGAAACATGAGAGACCTCTGGATCTGTTCTGTAGAGATGATCAGACATGTGTGTGTTCGATCTGCTCTGTGACCGACCACAAGAACCACAACACTGTTCCTATAGAAGAGGAGAGCGAAGAGAAGAAGGTAGAAGTTACTAAAAAAACTGCTTTTACAAGGCTTATATCATGAAGAATTACATTTTTAATTTTATCTTGTGAAAAAAAAAGATTTAATTTTTAAAACATGTGTCTGTGTTGTTCTCTCTATAGACTGAACTGATGAAGACACAGAAAGACGTGCAGCTGATGATCCAGAACACAATCAAGAAGATTCAAGACATCAAACACTCAGCAGAAGTCAGAAAAGTGAGTTCAAATCATTAAAATTAAATGTTATATGTCATTTAGTTGCATCTTTACAAGTGTCCTGATATACAGTCCAGACTTTTCACTGTTTGTGTCACTCAGCTTGTCTGTGCTTTGTAGCAAATTATCTCAAAAGGGAAATATGTATAATTAATTATAATGGCTTTCAGAATTAACTGTAGCAGAATTAATGTTACAATTATTTAGTTTGTTCGTCCACCGAGCAGACCGTATGATCATTTATCAGCTCTAGGAAAGATAAATGATTAATGTAGGATATCAGACCGAATCAGACAATCTAAGATTTGGTCAAACAATAGGAGCACAAAAATTCCACAGAGGCCCAAGACAACAGGATGTCATAAATCAGACCCGAGCATTAGCCAGTCTGAAGCAAGCCTAAACCCCTCTGACACAGAACAGTTTTCAACATTAACACAAAAGAACACTTATTGACAAGTCTCTAAACTTCAACTGCAGACCACAGCTCCGCGTCGCCAGCCAACGCCCAACCACTGGCTTCCCAAGACTGAACCTCCAGCCAATCAGGAAAGCGGGAAACCCCTTTCGGCAACCAGACAAGAAAGGAAACCCCGCATCACAGGAACAAGTACTTCCTGATATTAGCTGAACTGGTGCATTTAATCTAAATTGTAACCTCATTGAGGGACTCAATATATGCTAATTAATAGTGTTTACACTATATTTTGGATATAAATATCCATTGCAGAATTGATGTCATACGGCTCGTTCACTGACTCGCTGGCCGTCTCAGTGATCAGCTGTAAAACAGTGATTCTGTCCTAATTCCCTTACATATTAATGGTGGAGTTCCCTTTAAAATCTTAAATGATTCCCTTTGAGCTAAATTGACCTGTTTCCCTTACATTAAGAAAGAATAGTTTTCCTACTGTGAACAGCACTAGCACTAACTTATCATGCAGCAAGATCAACGTTCAAACTGTGAGCAGCAAACACAATAATAAACATTACTATGACTAACATACTACTTAACTAAGCAAAACACATACATACACAATGAAGAGAAGTAAGGAAAGAGAGAGAGAAGAACAAAGACTGGCAGTGTTTAAAGTCAGTGATCCAGATGCGTGTAGAGAATGAAGAGTCTTCATGAGTTCGTTAGGTGAGCTGGTTCTCATCAGGTTCTTCCAAAGATCCACAGATCCAAGATTCACGGAGAATCGACAAAGTTACTTTAAGATAAAACTGCCGGAAGATCAGACTCAATGGGGATGAATATTGGCGAGCGTCTGTCTCAAAGAGATTGAGCCCTGATGCCGTCTCAGTGATCAGCTGTAAAACAGTGATTCTGTCCTAATTCCCTTACATATTAATGGTGGAGTTCCCTTTAAAATCTTAAATGATTCCCTTTGAGCTAAATTGACCTGTTTCCCTTACATTAAGAAAGAATAGTTTTCCTACTGTGAACAGCACTAGCACTAACTTATCATGCAGCAAGATCAACGTTCAAACTGTGAGCAGCAAACACAATAATAAACATTACTATGACTAACATACTACTTAACTAAGCAAAACACATACATACACAATGAAGAGAAGTAAGGAAAGAGAGAGAGAAGAACAAAGACTGGCAGTGTTTAAAGTCAGTGATCCAGATGCGTGTAGAGAATGAAGAGTCTTCATGAGTTCGTTAGGTGAGCTGGTTCTCATCAGGTTCTTCCAAAGATCCACAGATCCAAGATTCACGGAGAATCGACAAAGTTACTTTAAGATAAAACTGCCGGAAGATCAGACTCAATGGGGATGAATATTGGCGAGCGTCTGTCTCAAAGAGATTGAGCCCTGATGGGTTTGGGTAGAGATCTTTTAACCTCCCTAACTCTCACACCTATCTCTGCTGGACTGACCAATGCAGAAGTGTGAATTTTGAGTGGAAAATGCTTCTTTGTTTCACCCAACACCTTCCTTTGCAGGTCTATGGGGGTCTGGGGGACTTGTGTGGTATTAAACCCAAGTGTAGTAAAAAGAGTAAGATCCAGGTTATGGTAAAATACTATACATCATTATATAGGGGATCACGAGGATGATTTTGAGTCATGCCACGGTTGGCTGGTTAGCATCAGTAAGGATAGCAGAGGGGATAATGATCTTTGAGCAAGATGTTGAAAAAAAAGACATGCCGGCTTCAGGCCTGTAATTTCATTGTAAAAAGGAAGAGGGAACGTGTACAACGCAAAAGTGTCCTTCAGCTCAGAATATCCAAAAGTAGCCAGATTGTGTTTAGGTTGAATGTCTGTTCCATATGCTCTTGAAAACAATTAAAAAATGTTTGACCAAGGATCATACAAAATTGGGCAAAACCAAATTAAATGTGCCAATGCCCCCTCTGCCATCCTGCACCAATCACATTGAGGTGGAGGCAAATGTTTTGTGTATAGTCTAGTTCTGGAGTAAAGCTGCTGTACAGGATTTCTAATTTGTCTCAAATAAGCAGGTGTTGGTTGTTTGCGCTGCTGTGATTGATAGTTGTATGACATCAAAGTACGGTGAGAGCTATAGAGAGCAGAGCAGACGGCTCCATGCGTTTGAATCGCTCTCGCAGTATGTCATACAACGATCGATCAGCTTAGCGCAAACAACCAACACCTGCTTATTTTAGACAACTTAGAAATCCTGTGCAGAACGTGTCCCCACGAAATGGCACGTCTGGTCACCTTATAGTACAGCAATATCACAACTCTTCTCAACTGAACACATGATTTGAGAATCAATCAGTGCAAACGGTGCAGGATGAAGTTTATTCTTCTGTTGAGGTATTTTAAATCCCCTTAAAAACACTGATTCTTGCAACAGGGATTTTATACTGAACTGCTGGAGATGATGGAGGAGCAGCAGAAAGCAGCAGAGAAACAGGAGCAAGAGCTGATTGAAGAGCAGGAGATCACTGAGCTAAAGATGAGAAACACTGAGCTGGAGCAGCTCTCACACACTGAAGATCACCTCCACCTCCTACAGGTCAGTCAACATGATCTCTCTGATCAATGATAATGCAGCATATGACACCAGAACACTCCCCATGCTGAAGGATTTCTCCTCTCTCCTGCTGTAGATTCACTCATCCCTGTGCAGCCCTAGAAACAGCAGGAACTGGCCTGAGATCAGTATGAAGACTCATGAGAGTCTGGAGACTCTGAGGAGAGCTCTGACTCAACTGAAGGACACTATAGATGAGAAACTCACACTAACTGGTACATCAACACACACACTGATCAGATAGAAACATGATGATGTACTCAATTCTTTAAATATAAGCTTCAGATCTGCTGATGTTTTCTTGTCATGTGTCTCTACAGAGCTGAAGGTGATGCAGCAGTATGCAGGTACAGTGTGCTGTCTGCACTACACTAGTTTACATTCATACACTCACAGCTTCATTACTGCTCTACAATCTGATTAAACACTGGATTACATGTTAAAAACAGCGTCACAGAATATCTCTTTTGTGAAGTTGAGAACTATATTCTCTGTTTTCTCAGTGGATGTGACTCTGGATCCTGATACAGCTCAACCTAATCTCATTCTGTCTGATGATGGAAAACAAGTGAGATGTGGAGACATTAGACAGAAACTCCCAGACAAACCAGAGAGATTTGATACATGTCCCTGTGTCTTGGGAAAGGAGGGATTCTCGTCAGGGAGATTTTATTTTGAGGTGCAGGTGAAGGGAAAGACTGAATGGGATTTAGGAGTGGCCAGAGAATCCATTAACAGGAAGGGAGCGATCACACTGAGACCCAGTGATGGATACTGGACTGTGGCTCTGATGAATGGAGATGAATATGAAGCCTGTGATGGTCCTTCTGTCTCTCTGTCTCTGAGAGTGAAGCCGCAGCGGGTCGGTGTGTTTGTGGATTATGAGGAGGGTCTGGTCTGCTTTTATGATGTGGAGTCCAGCTCTCATATCTACTCTTTCACTGCTCAGTCTTTCACTGAAAAACTCTATCCATATTCTAGCCCATGCTTTAATGATGGAGGTAAAAACTCCAGCCCACTGATCATCACACCTGTCAATGATAATAAATGAATTTGCACTACTAATATGAAATACAAGATTAAAATAATGATTCTTACAAGTACAAATCTGACAATTACATGTGCTGCTATTTTTTCTCTTTTTTTAATCTGTGCTATAATTACATATTGTTAATGTGAATATATAATAATTGTTCAATAAATGATTTGTAAAATTTTTGATAAATATCCATGCCATTTTTTTTCACAACTTCACCTGACAAAGTGAAATTGCCTCTAAAATCTAAAAAAAAAAAAACATGGTAACCTCAATAAATTGTTGTAAATTGTTATCAAGGCAGTTTCTCTGTTACAAAATGTTCTGTGATATTACTGTGAAA